TTCATCAAGTGTATCAGTTCATTTCATTTGAAGCAAAGACTTGTTTCAATTGACGCAATTAATGACTCGGAAACTGCTTCCTTCGTTTTTCCACTTTCACTTCAATTCGGGGCTCATTCGGTTTGTGACGCGTCGCGTCGTCAGGCATCGATATAAAGTATCCGGATAGTATTCACACAATATCGGTTGCCGATAGGGATAGCATCTGGATTGTATGTACACACTACGAAAAAGTCATGTAAATTTCGGTTCCCTGAGACCGATACATGTAAGCGGCCATTTTTACATAAGAATTAGCTGAAAGAAGCGAGAAAATCAATCCAATCAAACGTTCTCTTCGTCGAGTTGCATATGTTTCGGTTTGAGAACACTTAATTTTACATGAAATATTTTTTTACGTTCCATGATTTACGTCCAATATGGATTTCGTCTCGTGTAAAACTATTTTTTTCTAAGTGTGTAGTAATAAAATGTTATTTTATATTAAACGAAAATTAAATTAACGAGGCCAAGATGGCGGCCATCGGGCTAAGGAAAAGTCTCAAATACCCTACAATATGGGTATTTTTGGAACGGGGAGGACGCGAAGGTGCAAAAAATTGATGTCTGACGCCATTATTGGATTCCAACCATCGGGCTCAGGAAAAATGTCAAATAACCTAAGATATGGGTATTTTCGGAACTGGGACGACGCGTATTTGACACTTCTCCTAATATCGGAAGCCACCATCTTGATGTCACCCCGATTCCTAAAATATCCACATTGATCGGTATTTGACAGTATTTCACACTACTTCTGAACAAAATCCACCATCTTAGCTTGTAACAAGGTGTCAAACATCGGTTTCTAGCCTCTAAACATTGCTGAGATTTTGAAAATACTCGCATTGATGGGTATTTGACAGTATTTCCCACTTTTTTTGAAACCAGAAGTCGCCATCTTGGCTTAAAATATGGCGTCTGACATCGATTTTCGGCATCTACGTTCTGAAAATTCCCATATTTTAGAGTATTTGACACTTTTTCTCAAATCGGAAGCCGCCATCTTGGATTTCACAATGGCATCTGATATTGATTTCCAGCTTCTAGACATTACCCTGATTCTATAAAAAAAACTGGTGATGTATGGTAGTTTAATAGAATTTTTCACTTTTTAAAAATTTCAAGAATTTAAAAATGACGTCGGACATTGACTTTCATTCACTAAACGACATCCCGATTCCAAAAATACCCATATTGATGGGTATTTGTTAGTATTTCCCACTTTTTCTAAAACTGAAAGCCACCATCTTGGATTTCAAAATGGCGTCGCATATCAATTTCCAATCACTAGACGTCACCCGATTTTAAAAATACCCATATTGATAAATCGTATTGAGGGTCGGCATCAATATTTTCCCCTTTATCTGATATCGGAAACCGCCATATTGGATTTCAAAATGTCGTCGAATATCGATTTTCAACCTCTAGACGTCACCTCGATTAAAAAATTACCCTATTGATGGCTATTTAACAGTATTTCCCACTTTTTCTGAAAAATTAAGCTGCCATCTTAGATTTCAATATGGCGACGGTCATTGATTTCAGGCCTATGAACGTCATCCCGATTCCAAAAATACCCATATTGATAAATCGTTGACAGTATTTCACACTTTTTCTGGAATCAGAAGTCGTCATCTTGGATTTCAAAATGGCGGTCATCGATTTCCGGTCTCTAGACGTCACTCCGATTCCAAAAATACCCATATTGATGGGTAAACAAACCACCAAACAATGATAAATTTGACATTCACGTGCACAGATCTATGAGCATACGTTTAAATTAAACGAGTAAAACAAAAAGTAAGAAAAACTGCGTGAATTTGGATCGAACAGCTTCGTTTCAATGTGCAAGTAAATTCATTTCTAGACCAACAATTGAAATAGGCGGAACAACCAAACGTAAACAATGGCTTTAATCGCAAATTTCCCGAGAATCAAAACACATCCACGCAATCCAGCACCACCATGTGATAGAGCAAACTTCATTTATCGAATGATATTGTTAGTTTGCATGGGTGTATTTTGTTTACGTTTGGCTGTTCTGCCTATTTCAATTGTTGATCTAGATTTGACAATGAAAGACGAAATGAACACTAGTCAAACTATACAAACAGCATGAAAACTGATCGAAAGTGGTTCTGTTGATGTTGAAGAGCATCTGGTCGAAGAGAAGACAGAATAACTTTCAATTGAAAGTGATGGTTGACAGTTTCGTCTTCGCTTGACGATTATCGATTGAAAGTGACTTTGTTGGGCCCTGCTTGGGACATATCGTCGATCGCCATGGTATTCTCCCTGATCCTAAAAACTTAAAGTTCGTTAAAAAGACTTGATTGATGAGAATCTTGAATCTATCAATCCCAAACCGTGAGCATTTTTGAGAGCAAAACAAGCACAGTTCGTTGTCGCATCCAGCAAAACGTTGTTCAGAGGTTTCAAGACAGTTCCAGTCGAGGATTCCAATAGTTCCCGATGGAAAATCCAGACGATTCCTGGGGATATTGCAAAAAATTCCGGTGCGGATTCCAGACGTTCCCGACTTGAATTCGAGACGTTTTCGACGGAAGTTCCAAACGTAGCCAACAGGTTTTCCAGAGATATCGCATGTAACACGAGTATACTCAAAATAAATCACTGTTAAAAAATTCAAAATACAACCGCTAGAGGCGCTGCTATAGAATAAATAAAGTGTTCAGATTCTAAGTAGACCAGACTTTAAAATCTCTATCGGGAGATTTAGGGACAAAAGGTCGAAAGACAAAAAATCTAAAGACAAAAGGTTGAAAGACAAAAGATCGAAAGACAAAAGGTCAAAGGACAAAATATAGGTGTTGTAAGTTGGTGCTAGTACTGCATGAGCTTGTCGGCGGCGATGCACGTTATCTCAAGACCGTACAGCAGGCGACTATCGATGACGACACTTGCAACCCAGAAACGAGTATCGAGATTGTTAGACCATTGGGGGCGGGAGATGCTGCGACAGTCGTTCTTGACCGCCTTAAAGTGCTGCTCGAAGTTGAGGGATCGGTCAGTAAGTACCCCCAGAATACGGACCGTCTTCGGGCTAGCTTTGAACTTTGATAGGTGTGCCGGGATGGACACACGTGGCACCTGACGCTTTTGGTGGCCGAAAGCTGGAAGCCTACCGCGCTGACCCACCTGGCTACAGCGGAAACTGCTGCCGGGGCATTGATCCTGTTATGTACGTGTTGCTGTTGGACCGGTAGTTATGATAACTACATCGTCGTCATACTCGAAAATGTAAACATTTTTTGGCAGTCCTCGGAAAACTCTGTTCATGGCCACAAGGAACAGGGTAACGGCGATAACTGAACCTTGTGGGACGACCCATCTCTTCTCTGAAAAGCTGAGACTTCGTGTTGCCAACTGCGATTGTGAATGAACGATCGGTCAAGACATTTTTGATAAAGTGGATCATGGGTCTACTTAGGACCCAGTTTACCAGCTGCTAAAAGACGAGGGGCGTCCAAGTCCTGTTAAAGGCCTTCGAAATATCCTGCGAGACGATCTCGATGCGGAGACCACTATTGAGCTTTTCAACCAAACTATCGTACCAAACAACGTATGATTGATTCGGTTACGTTAAAGTCATTAACATATTTAATGTTTCTGCTCGATATGACGGAAATGGGCGCTTATTTCATGTCATGTCATATTTCATTATCATCATGAAAATATTTAATTTCAGCGTTGTTGGCTTATCTGCAACCATCTACTGCGTACCGTATGCGTGATAATGTTTGCACCATTGAGCTATGTCAAAATTAAAAAAAAAATCTCAAAAATTTCGTTTTCGAGTTTTTTTATTCATTTAAAGGGGGGATGTTTCTCAGAGTCTTAAACTATGTTAATCATCGATCGAGTTTCCACTTGCTGCAATTACGGTCTCCACACGCTTCCGGAATGTACGGCAGGTTCTAATAATGTAGTCTGGATCCATTTCTCTCCAGGTACGGGTCAATGTTTGTCTGAGGCTTGCTGTAATCGGGTGGTGGTTGGAACAGGCCTTGGCCTTCATGACGCGCCATATTGAGTAATTCAGCGGATTAAGATCGGGGCTGGATGGCGTCCACATATCCTTCACCCAGAACGGAAGATGTTCCTGCAACCACTTCTGAGTGCGGTTCGAGGTGTGGCACGGAGCCCCATCTTGTTGAAATACAACATTTGGCTTCGGACCGTACTGTTCTTTGATCCACGGAAGAACATACTTACTTAAAATCCCGATGTAGACCTCCGTGTTGACCTTGTCGCCTTCTGGAATGAACACCGGGTCCATTTTTTAACGCTAGCAGGATGCTTGGTCAGATACACGTTCTTGTGCTTGTCAGTAATCATGTAAGTTTTTTTCCATGCCCTCGACTTCGCCCCGCAATCTTCCTTTACGATTTTCCGTGCCGTAAAGTCACTGATCCCGTATTCCTTTGTCATTTTCCTTACTGAACGCACTGGATTCACCCGAATCTTCCTTTTGATAGCAGCGATAACCCTCGGAACCCGAGCTGACCTCGGACGACCTATAGCCACCTTCGCGGATAGTTGTCCTTTCTTTTCTCGGTCTTAAACCCTTTTGACGGTCCACCGGAACACTCCCACGGCGATTGAAATGTCTTTTTGCGACATTTGCGCGTGGGACAAATCACGAATACGCTGCCACTTCGTCATGATGCAGCTGTCAAACTAAGTAAATCATTTTCTTTTATACACAGCCTACTACGGTATGAGCTATAGGTTACGTGCATGCAAAGAAAACCAAGGCAATGTATGCATAGGTGAAACGGGAACCTTATTTGTACGATGGTGCATACGATATATTCAATAGAATTGCAATCATGAAATTCCAAATCCGTGATTTGAGATTAGACATGTAAACTTGTCAGCTGCTGACCGAAATTCACGAAACTAATAACCTTTTGTTTTCCGTTCTCCTCTTCCAGCTTGGCCTTCTCGGTGACCATATTCTGTTCCGAGGCATGCATTGCGATTATCGTGCTGGTGCTGCGCCGAAATCCCAAAATCGGCGGTGAGCTGGGCGGTCCGAAGAAAGCCAAATACATTACCGCCACCTTCTTCTTCTCGCTGTGGATCATCTATCTGCTGATGAGCAGTTTAGAAGCGTACGGTGTCATCAAAGGATTCTAAGCGATTCGTCCACCGGAGAGCCCCCAGATCATCAACATCGTCATTTAGCGGAAATTTATCTCCTGCGCTAGCTAGAGTCCCCGTTTGTGTAGAGAGCTCTACACATCCAGAGAAATGTGTCCGAGGCACACATACACACACACGTTCATTCGCTCACGCGCGTGCATCGATTCCATATAGATTTTGATTTAGTTTCACTTTAGGTTCATTGGAATATTACTGAAAGTGAACAAACACTAGATAGTTTGAACTCGTACTATATAGTCAGCGAACTAAACCAGAGTCCCACGAGAAATAAAGCTACACATTTATTTATTTTCTTTGTAATCGAACAACAACAGCAACCAAATAATATGCTTGAAAACTAGGTTCTATCGAAATGAAAATCCCTTCAAGTGAAATACAAGACATTTTAGTTTACACTACCTGTATTGTTGATAATTTGTAAGAGAACATTATTTAAATGAAACAAACTAAAAAGAGAATGAAAGCGGCGTGTTGCCCAAAGCCCAAAAAAAAAAGAAGTAAGAAAAATGCCAAATTGTTAAGAATTAAATCTATTTAATTACTATAATATTAAAGAAAACAGAAAAACATCATAGCGTGTCATAGGGTAAGGTTACGTTTAAATAGGATATGTAATGAAAGAAAGCAGAAAGCCGAATGTTTCAAAAACAAAAAACAAACAAATCGACAAAAACACATGACAGCGACGGACCGGTGGACGTGATTTTAGAATTTATTGCATATATACTTTTTGTTAACTTTGATCATCTGCTAAGATGGATTCTAGTCAAACTATGAATTTATAACTTACGTTTCGTTGCCCCCTTCGCCGTGGGTCATGAGTCCAACGGATGTTTTGTTTTTTATTTAGTTTCGGCTCAGGTCATGTATGGTTTTTGTAAATATACAATCAGTGTATTATGTTTAGTTTTCATAACCTTGTTTACTTTTCGTCGTAGTGCTTGGCCATCGCGGAACATTTAGGGAAATCAAAATGCAACGCGTTATTTTTATAGAGCGATGAAGACATATCTAGTTTAAAACGAGAATGGTAAAGATTTTTCGAGACTCCACTGAAGCGTGAAATCAATTCCTAGCGAAACAAAAATACATTTGACTATCAAAAAAAAAATGAGGAGTACCGAAAGCTTGATGAATCCCCATTCCCTGTTTGTAAAATCAAATTGAAGAAATTTGAAATGATACCAAAAAACGACACCGGAAGATTAGAGCCACAACTAACAGCTAGTCTAGATTCAAGTGTCACGTTTTTGTACCAAGTAGGAGCGTATGTGTGCAATACTCACCGCATCCGGTATCCATCAGCTCTAGCAAAAATAAATAAACGAAACAAAATCTCGAAACAAGGACCACAAGCGATCAATCACAGAATAACCCTATACTTAGACCCGAGTACTGAAGCATTTTTATCCGTTATTCGTTTAGTTTCTGCGTTAAAACACACATATAAACACACACACACATACAAAAACCACAACACTCCACACAGAAAGGTAAAACTCTGAAGCATTCTCACCAGTACAGAAGAAGAGAAAAATATTTACCGCCCGAGCGCTACAGCGGCAGCAATGGTGGCCAGCTTCGATCGAAAATAGATTCTGTCAAAACGAGCGAAGCCTAATCAAAATGGCAGACTATCGCTGTGGCAACCGTTTCCCTAATCGAAAGTGAATAGTAATTTCTTCCATTTCAAATAATAAAAAAAAACCGCGCTAGTGTTAAGATTTGTTTTAGTCGTTAGAACTCAGTTTATCACAGTTTTTAGGGTAATAAGTAACAACAGAGAAACAAATGGAAATTGTTGATCTTAAGTAAACGTCCACGTCGTGTGTGAGCGAGAGCAAAATAATTCTAGTGTTTTTGTATAAGATATTCTAAAACCAGATACAGCGAAACTGCGTCGTAAAATGATCATTATTGTTTGTGTAGGAGGAAAAGGAGATGCCAACACACAGCGACAGTGAAAAAAAAAACAATCCAAAACTGACAACATGAAGCGCTTTGTGACGGCTGAAAGTTTGATTGTTTGAAAAACAACAACCACGTTATTGTTGACAAGCTTTTCGAATTGTTTCCCCATTCTTTGCCACCAAGATTGAAAACTGAGTTGTACAATGAGCGCTAATGGAGAAAATGATTCGAACATTTGTTATTTGTTTTATAACTTGTTAAAAATGCAAACAAACGTAGAACCTGAAATGAAAAGTAAACCAACAATAAAGCAAGTTAGTAAACGTGTTCTTTAAAAGGGAAAATATTTATAAATGGATTATAGGAAGCAAAGTGATTGACATTTATATTTTTACGAGAAACGCAAACATCGTTAGCCACCTGAATGTGAATTAAACATAAACAAAGAAACAAACTGTTATAGTCAATAACAAATCTACATTTCTTGAAATAATTCAAACTCTTGATGTTCACAAATCCTGCAAAACAGAAAATATGCGTTTCATTTCAATATTAACCTGTAAAATAAAGTTCCACACCTTTGAAAACCATACCAGAAACTGTCATCTGTAAGCTTACTTCTGAATTCCCTTTACATATAGTTTAAAACTGATTGTGACAAAAGTCAAAAATACACAAACAAGAAACGGAACACCCCAATCAGAGCAGAGCATCATACACATACCTAACGGATGTAGTACCGATCGATCATCAAAATACAAACAAATGTAACATTCTTCCAAAGAAAACTGCATCGAACAGAGAATATTAGAACCTACACGGACAAGTTTAAAAACAGTGTACTGAATGTTGTAATAAAAAACACACCGGAGACCACGCGAAAACAGAATCACAATGTTTATAGACAAAAAAAAGGAACTCGTTTGACTTCCATCGCTTGATGTGCAATATTACAATTAACCAATTCCAATATAGAATGGAATCTTAAGGAAAGACCACTTTTTATGATCCACCTAGAACAAATACTTTTACCCATTACCCATTACCGTCTCGGAACCTTAATCCAAACGAAAACCTCTTGTTTTCTTTTCACTCTTGTATAACTATAACAAACTAGCAAATTGTAACTCAAGACACACACGTTGAGAAATCAACCAAACAACAATGGAAAGCAAAATTCTAACCCTACTTCTTTTCTTGAACTTAACCTCTCTATCGTGTTAAGAAAATGAAACTATCGTCTCAAACTAACTTATCGAATAATAGGTCTAATCTTTGTCGCATTTTATTCCAATTTCCTTTATTTTTTCTGCATCTCTTATATGCGCAAGGCCCCGTAAATCTGTACATGTAAAAATCCTCTGCACTATTCTATTTACGAAAATCATAAAAACAAATTAAAACCAACAATTATGGCCAAAACCTGACACGAATAGACAAAACAAATAAAAACAAATCCAACCATACCACTTAGGTTCAGAGCATTAGAGGTTTCCTCGAAAAAAAAAAACATCTTTCCCCCTATTGTTATCTTTCACTATTATCTGTTTCAATCCGGTTTACAAAGCCCTGAAAAAGGAAACACAAACAAAAATAGAAACAAAGAAACGAATATATATATATTACTAAAAAGAGAACGATCTACAGATAAAACAGATGATCGATACAAGTTAAACACAAACACAAACCGACACAGACACACCACAGGCAAAGCAAGCAAGTATGAACAAAAAAATCAACAAGTGGAGAAAACTAAGAACAAACGAATTATGTAGTGTGTACTCCGGGCTCCATTGGCAGAGCCGTCGGCGCCACCACCGCCGCCATCCCGGGTGGACAAAAAAGGAATAATGAATAAAGAAACAAATGAAAATGCGTGTATGTTTTTCTTGCAGTGTGTGAAAGCTTCCAACTCCGTCCGCGAGGTGTCTTGATAGAAAACTAGTTGGATTTTCCGGGCTTTTCCTGGAAAATCTCCTCGAATATGAGGAAAATTGATAGAGGTTTCACTATTCTATTCGTCTATTTCAGTTTATTTCAGTCAGCTGGGTGGCAGCCCTATCTTGTTTGCCTTGAATTGAAAAGAGCTAACATCGCTGCGGGCCCTCGAATCATGGACCCCACTGACAGCTCATAATTTGTAAACAAATAGAAGATTCAAGCCAGAATTTCATAAAAGGCGTGACTGATATTTTAGATATTCTTAATATTTTTGCTTACATTTTGTGAAAAATAAACTTAGAACTCATAAAATATTATTTTCTGATTTTCTACCATGAAGTCAAACATTTATATGGCATAAAAGGGAAAATAATTTCATTTGATAAAAATAAGACAATTCAGTCACGCCATTTTTGCAGTTCACACTTGAATTGTGACGTTTCAGATGTTGGTTTCAATAACATGGCGGCATATCACCCAGCTGATTTCAGTCTATTCGTATGCATATATGTGGTGGGTGGTACCATCCCCCACTGCTAAAGGGTGTCCCACATCAAATTGCATCACGGAAAAAAACGCTGTAGAAAATTACCCATTGAGTATATACTCTTGAAGTTTTGGTAGAAGTAGTTTAGAGTGTATTGTTTACACTGTATTTTTTATCGCTGTCAGTTTATCGAAAGTTGGGAAAAAAAGGCGTCAAGAAATACATGATTTGGCAAGCGATTTGCTCATGTGGCAAACGGAGTACGCCGTTCGTGACTACCGGGACTATAAACGGGGAGACCTACCTCAAGGAGTGTCTACAGAAACATCTGCTTCCTCTGTGAAGCAACACGAGGGTTCTACGAACCTCTGCCTAGGTTCGTGCCAATATTCAAATGTTGTTCTGGAGTGGTACGAAGCCAACGGGGTCACTTTCATACCCAAGGACATGACCCTCCATGCATCGCAAACAGTTAGAAGTAAACTGCACCAGGTTCGTGGACACGGAGCGCTTCGGGTAAAAGCCGTATTGTTCTGTATCGATATAATTTTTGCAGCACGCAAACAGAGCATCATTTATGATCATCTCGAACAGTTTTGAGTAGGCATACAGGGAGGTGATTCCACGATAATTTGCGACATTCCGTTTATCTCCTTTTTTGTAGACTGGGAACAGATAAGAAAGTTTCCAGCGGCAGACGAACTCACATTGCTGTGCCGAGAGATTGAATAGCCTCGCAAGTGGAAGAAAGGCAGAGATTGGCTGCATAACGTTTTAGAACTGATGACGGAATGCCGTTAGGTCCGGCGGCGAACGAGTGCTTCAGTTCGCGGGTTGGGGCTATCACCATGTCTTCTGAAATGCGCGGAATATCAAAACTAAACACATCACGTGGCATCCCAACAGTAGCATCCAGCACTTGTGTCGGCGAAGCGAAGAAATCTCGGAACACTTGCTTGAAATGACGAGCAAACAAGTCGCATTTTTCTCTTTCGCTATTAGCCGAGTCATTCCCGAAAAATATGGAACAAGGCAACCCGGATTCCTTCCGTTTGGAGTTGACAAACGACCAAAAACTTGTCGGGTTCGTGCGAAGGTTCGCTTCCATGCGTCTCACGTGTCGATTATAGGGAAAACGATTGTAATATTGATAACTACAACTCGAAAAATTGAACGGTCGTTTGTAGGACGGCGAGCGACAGTTACAATACTTTCGGAGGGCGGCAGAGTGTTGACGTTTTAGTACGCGTAGGCGTGGGTTAGACCATGGAGGCTTTTGCGGGGGTCGTCGTGCTGGGACAATGCGTAAAATAGCATCTTCCAGTGCAGCACTGAAAAAACCCACAGCATCATTCACGCTAGCGGCTGTTTCGATAAATTGCCTATAAATTTCCGCAAGCGCATTGTTCAATGCAACATAATCAGCTCGGCGAAAGTCCAAAGAGTATCACTCAGATGACGGCGTAAAAACAATCGGCGAAGGTAAACTAAATGACACGACGGCGAAGGACTAAATGACACGACGAAAGCGGGATGATCAGCATCTAGATCAATCAGTGGCTCGACAGGCAAGGAAACAGAAGTGCCCGGTGTAGAGTGGTAATAATTAACATTATCGCGCCCCTTGCCGGAGGACCTTGCAGAAAACAGAGAACCAGCTAAATTCAATGGTTAGAGGCAGTCGATTACGGTACGTACACGCGAACGGACTGGTTTAAATAAATCTGTTTCTATTTAAATTCATTTGTGAATAATTTAAAGTTGAATCCGAAAGTGTTATTCTTGTGGGTGAACTCTACAAATTGGCACAGCCGGTACGATTCGAAGGTTAGTAACACTAAAGTTATGCTGAGTTTTTCGTCATTCAAGGAGCGCAAAGATCGTTGCTCAGCAAAAAAACGGCTGAGGACCTGAAAGTTTTGAAAGTGGGGCTTGAGGTTCAAAGTATCGTACAGAATAAACATCCATTCCCGAAATTCCCCAACGTACAGGTGACATTATCTATTGACCGTACGGTACCCCCTAGGAAGATAGCTTACCTAAGAATTCCTTTAGCGATGGAAGAGAAAGTCAATCAAAAACTTCAGCAAATGTTAGACACTGATATTATTGAACCCGTTTTTGGTTCTGCCGAGTGGATCTCACCTATGGTGGTAGTTCCAAAGGGAACTAACGATGTCCGTATATGCATTAATATGCGATACCCTAATCAGGCTATAAAGAGGGAACATTATCCGCTACCACTTATCGATACACTTCTCAATAAGCTAAAGGGAGCGGTTGTATTTTCCAAGCTTGACATTACATCAGCATACTATCATGTGGAATTACACCCAGAATCGCGTGAAATAACCACCTTTATGACGGGTAAAGGCCTAATGCGATTTAAGCGATTGATGTTTGGCATTAATTGCGCGCCCGAGATTTTTCAGCGGATAATGTGTGAAATGCTTGCTGGTATCGAAGGCGTAGTAGTTTATATCGATGATGTTGTTATTTGGGGAACAACACGAAATGAACATGATGAGCGGCTTCAAAAGGTTCTGGATATTTTTGAAGCAAACCATGCTTTGCTGAATAAAGAAAAGTGTATATTTAGAGTGGAAGAGCTTGAAATACTAGGGTTCAAAATTAGCGTGAATGGAATTTGCCCAACAGACGACAAAGTTGCGGCTATTCGGAACTTCAGGATGCCAGAAACAAAGGAGGAAGTGCGCAGTTTTCTGGGGTTGATTAATTTTGTCGGACAGTTTATGCCACATCTATCATCTAGAACCGAAGCCCTTCGACAGTTTATCAGAGGGGAAGTGGAATCATTCGGTGTAGACCAACAAAAAGCTTTTGATGACCTGCGCAATGAGCTTTCGAACACCGTACACCGTTTGGGATTTTTTGACCCAAAAGATCTAATCGAGCTATACGTGGATGCATCCCCGGTTGGTCTTGGCGCTGTTTTAACCCAAAAAGACAGTTTGAACAAACCAAGGATAATCTGTTTTGCCTCAAAGGGCCTTACGAAGACGGAGAGAGTTTACCCGCAAACACAGCGCGAAGCCTTGGCTGTCGTATGGGCGGTGGAAAATTTTTACATGTATTTGTTCGGAGTACACTTCACTGTGTTTACCGATCATAAGACGCTCGAATATATTTTTGGTGGAA